CGGCGCCTGGGAACAATGTTAGATCACTTTACGTTTCCTCAATCAAGATGAAAAGCTAACCTTCTCTTTGTTTGGTAGCTTTTGGAGGCGGACTAAGAGATAATAGGGGTGGCGACGGAGGAAGCTCATCTCGAACGTCCTCATATGTTCCCAAACGGGCCTGAGCCCCCGCCCTGTGGCCTCGTGTAGACTTTTTGCGCCGAGGAATCTTTGAAGTACTGGCAGCTGCGCCTTTGCCAGAAGCTTGAATTTCGGGGTCGACGCCAGCTTCTTCGTCTGAGCTGTCGGAATCGGAAAAGCCCGAATGATCAAGCACACCTTCCTCTCCTTCTCCAATCGTAAAGCTTGATCGAGAGCTGGGGTCGAGCTCATCCATTGACGCGACTTCATTGCCAAACTCGGAAATGATGTCCGGGAATGCACCCATATCAAACGATTCGGAGTCCTCACACCCAAAATCACGTTCCATCTCCCACTCCATTTGCCAATCTTCCCATGTGCTCGAGATCTCTCCCAGAGAGCTCCGAACCAAGGGAATAGACAGTTCCCAAACGGATGCACCTGTGCCATAGGAAGAAGCAAAGGGTGATATTGGGGGGGGGTTGGTTGTCTTGGGCCAAGTCTTTGTGGCTGATAATTTGCTGGAACGTGATAGGCCGCTTTCGGTGGAACTCCAACCCCTTCTACGACCTCGCTCTTCAAGTATTCTCATGGCTGCTGAGTGATTGTCCATCAAGCATAGGGCCTCCTCTACAAGGGAATCATGTAGACATCTGAAGCGGTCGACAGCGGTGCGAAGGGTCGAGGCTCGTCGAAGGCTAGCAGCAGCGGATGGGTTCGAGTGGGCAGGGTGGGCAGCAGACGATATGGTATTCGGGCGGGGAGCTCGCAAAGTGGCAGAAAGGAGAGGTTGAGAGAGACCGTCTGTGTCAAAAGGAACGTCAGGAATATCTCCCTCAATCTGCTCGTGACTTGAGCTAGCGCGACTTGACGCCGAAATAGCAGAGGTGAACGTGCTGGAAGCACTAGACCGCCTCGACTCCTTCTCCGATGGCATGCCTTCCTGTTGGGGTTGCGTTTGACCCTCCATGAAGGCTTCAGGAGAACTACATACATTACCCGGCATTTGGGCAATCAATCTTTGCTCCTCGTGAAGCGCATGTTCACAACGAGAAATCATGCTCCGACAAGCCCACTCGGCATACGAGTTTGTCGACCTGGAAATCTTTTTCAACTTGGGCACACGATCCAGCTGTTCCTCTTCCCAAATTCCGTTCCCATGTTCCTCGTCCATAATAAAGACTCCCCATCGAATACGTTCCTTGACACGGGGGATGACCCAGCGCCGATAACAGTCAACGAGCGTACTGCGCGCTCGGCGACGGAGCGCTTTGCTGGGAGGGAAGGCACGACTGGGGAGCTGTGCCCGAAGAGGGAAGGTAAATTCCGAAGTGGCAAAGCAGTGAAAGTCTTGCTCCGTGAGGAAAGGGCCGGTGATTGGGCCTGGCGGCATACTCCTCCGCTTTGTGAGACGGTTGCCACCGCTGCCTCCTCCAATGAAATACGGAGGTGGGCCATTTTCGTGAGACGA